ATGTATGCAGTGAAGCTCAATTTTAGTATGTGGTAGAAAACATCAACTTCCATTTTATAAGAAAATACCAACTTAACGGGCCTCTTAAACATGCAAGGTTCCTACCACTTGACTTATATAATTAAAATAGGTTAGTAGATTTATTTTAGAAAAGAAAGTAAAAGGGTTAGAAACTACCTGTGTACGCAGTGAATACAAAACGTAAAGGACCAAACGAAAATTTGCAGGTAAGAAGCAATTGGAATTTTTTCTTGATTTTTACATGGGTAATAATAAATGTATGTTTACTGTATCATTATTTAGTCAATGGGTTAGATATGAAGTTTTGAAAGCGTAGTTGGCAAATGCATGTCGTTTTCTTTTGATTTGGGAGGGGCACTTTATTAATTTAATTGATAACTAAGGATTGTCAATAATTAAGGCAATGACTAGGAGGTTAATAAATTGGAAGTAGTAAGTATTTTATCATTGGACGGGTTATATATGGTAGTAAACTGAAGTGTAGTACGAGATAATCATGTTTCTCTTTTCTCTGTGGTTGGGACTTGCTATTACTTTGTTATTATTTAAATTATAATGACGGTAGTTAATGTAGTTTTAGGGAGAGATTTGGGGGTCATATTGAGGGAAGGGACTTTAGGCGCATAGATATATTTTAGGAGTTAAGTAGTTAACCATTTCACCGAATGGATTGAAAAGAGGGGTCGCGTAGTATTGCATTGTCGGTTCTGCTAATTGGTGGAATTGGTTCAAATTTTATTTATTTACCAAATTAAGTACTAGTTTTAACATATTGGTACATGTAATTAATGTTAGGTATATTGTATTAGATGGATACCACTAGAATATATTGTTCAGAGAAATTAAGACTTAACTTTAGGCTTGATTTTTAGGAAATATAAGGCGTGACATATGAGTTGGCACCAAAACTAGGAGCTTGATTATAGCATTTTGATGAGTTTTTGGCCTAGGTTAGGTGTGTGGTAAAATGAGTATCTATGACTTGCTTACTTGTGAATATTGCATAAGTGGTAGATTGGGAACGTTTTGAAGCTTTGCGAAAAGAGAAGGAAAAATCTTGAGGATTCGTGACACAGGTTCAGCATTTAAGGTATGTTATGACTTCATTGAAGGACGTTTTTCTAATTAAAGACTAATAAAATAAAATAGACTATTGGTAAGGGCGAAAGATGGGGGATCTAGTATCAATGGCGTGATGGACATTGGTACATGCATAGAAAGGGAAAATTTATTGCAATAGTAGGCGGATTGTAATCCGAGAATGCCAAAGCATATGAGCATTAGCTTATGTATTATTGATTTGAATACTTCGTGTGATTGTATTTCTTATTTAAACCAATATATTTGTAATAGTTGAGGTGGTTATGTATAATATTGATATTTGATTGATTGAGATACATCATCATCCCTTTTATTGAAACAATAGTGTGCATATGTATTGGGGATGGTGAGATGTTAAGATTATAATTAGTGGAGACGGTCCGTGCGAAAATTGTTTGATTTTATGATAGTGCGTTGAGATCGTCCGCACAGACACGTGGAGATCATTTGTGTCGGTATATCGACCTCGCGAGTCCCCCATGGGTCATGAACTCTCGATGTATTTTCGAGAAGTATCATGTATACACAGTTGAGAGGGTACTTGGCATCGGAGGCATATCATTTCATATTGTCGCATTACATTGCATCTCATTACCTGTTGATTACATGTGTTTATTGGTGGTATATTATGTGAGGTTGATTATTCTTATTTGATGAACTTGACTGGTGAGTATAATAGAAACCTATATAAGGGACTGATTTTCTTATATAAACTCTTGTCACTACTATACTGGGTACACGTGATTTCTTACTCATACTACACTTGTTGCACTCTTTTATGGTGCAGATCCAATTCCGAGTACGAGCACATCTCGAGGAGCTTTTTGAGTCCAAGCTTAGAGTGTCTTGGAGTTGTGGTGAGTTGTTAGGCTGTTTTGTAGCCCACACCTCCCTCTATCTTTTATTTATTCTGTTATTTTAGTATTCAGACAGGATATCCCTTATATTTGGATGTCATTTTAGTTTCAGACTTGTATCATATTTAGAAGCTCTCATACTTGTGACACCAAATCTTGGTGGTATTTTAGCTTTCTGCACGTCGTATTTATAAAGAACTTATTGTTGGAGATTTTAGCTCGTTGTTTACCTCCTTACCTTATTAGTTAGTTAAAATTGGTAAAATATGTTGAATTGGCTTACCTATTGGTTGGAAACATAGATATCATCACGACTTGTAAATTTGGGTCGTGACAACTAGCCAGCATGTATTTGTACTCTACTTCACATTTACATATTCTTTTACCACTTCAAACGATGTTTCTCATGCAAATTTCTGGATTGAATAAGGTAAGATCTTTTGTCTAAAAAATCATTTGCTTTCATGACGTGACATTTCTCCACATAAAACAAATATTTATAGTAGCAATACTTATTTGGGAAAAACATTTGATTGATCAACCTTTTTGGCACCACCCTTACCTCTCATGGCACAGTGCATATATTAACTAAAGTTTTGTCACAAAAGGTATCCCTGAGTTTTAAGCCCACATACCGGTCATGGAGGGCAAACAATACACCATCTGAAGACCGAGAAACATCAATTTCAATACAATCAGCCTGAGAATCAAGAGCAATTCGATATGCAGCCATCTACACGAACAATACACTAATCAGAATTCCAAATAATAAAGTTGGGATACAATTTTGCCACTAATAAAGGAAATGGAATTCCTACAGTGTTGGGGAAGGCCTTGGACGAATCACCACCATGAGCACAGACGAGAGGAATACTCCGTAGCCAACTGCATTTCTGTGATTGCACCTGCACAATTATGTAATGTTTGAAATAGTTAGGGAACAAAAAATTTACACACCCAAAACTGTAGAAAGAAAGAGCAGGATATACCTTCTGGAATGTGCGAAGACGAAGATGGAAGTAAATAGGGGGGAGAATGGCGATGAGGGCGAGAGCAATGAGGAGAGATCTGAAGAACTTTCTGGAAGTGAAAACTCTGAGCTTTGGGCTAAACTTGCGGGACAAGAGGCCATGTCTCTCCAACCGGAGTCGGCGCTGTTGCCGCCTCTCCATTTTTCAATTCAACAAAAAATTTCCCTTTCTCTGTGCACAAAAATGCCGTCCTCTTCAGAAATTGCAAATCAAAAGAGTTTCACCAGCAGTGAAACTCGTTTGGACTGACATTTTTTTTATTGGTTCATATTATTGTAAATTTATTTTCCTTTGTACCATGGACACACGTGGCACTATCAACCAAAAAAAATTTCATATTTCAAACTTAAATTTGACATTTTTAATTAAGAACGAATCACTATAATCAACACACCACTAATACATATTGATATTGTTGAGTTATTCTTAACCCTTCTAAATATATTTGATTGCCATTGTAAGCTCCAGTTAATTTAAATGACGTGTCACTTAAATCATCTCTGATACATTTTTATTTTAACCTTTATTTCCCATATTTAAAGGACAAATAGAAATATTATTTGTTCTTCATTTATAAAAAGGTAAATAGTAATTCTCAATATTCACCTTTCTATTGCACTTTTTGATTAATTGAATATTGTTCTCATTACATCATAAATTAAGAATATTATTTTTAATATAATAAAACATTTAAAAACATAGTATTGATAAGTTACTATTTCCACCTAAATAAATAGTTTTTTTATATTAAAAAAATTCTTACTTTAAACATGTAATTTAAAATTATTTTATTATTATTTACATTATATAAGAACATTAATTAAGTCTTTAATAATTGTAGTTATTTTCTAAATAATATAGCATCTAAAAATATATTATTGATGAGCATACTATTTCTATCTCAAATTAATAATTTTTCTAATTTGATTTTAAAATATTTTGTCACTTTAAATATGTAATTTAAAATCATAATTAATTATTCACTATGAAAAATGCACAAAATTTACATGATAATTCAAACAATCCACTTTTATGTTATAGTGATAAATTATTATATTATACTGTTTAACGACACAAGAAAATTTTTAGTTCATTTTGAACTCCATAATAAATTATTAAAGCATTTATGAAAGAAACATAATAATCTTGAAAGTTGAATATTTACATAAAAAAAGTTTTAAAAATTACAATGATGCAATATTTATTATATAATTATATTTTCATTAATAATTTTACTTTATTTGAACTACTGAATTAGCTCGCGCTTTGCACAATCATTAACAAATCCGTATTTAAATGTCTATTATATATTTATTATTTTTGAATATTGAAATAATGCAAATATAATTTTTTAAAATCTAAAATGAGTTATTGTTTATTTACGTTTTCAATTGTAATCTAAACACAACACAATAATTTTAATCCATAAGCATTTTGCAAAACTTTTAAATTTTTAAAAGCAAAACTAATGTCTTTCAAGATAAAGCACACCTCTATATTGTTATCAAAATATAAAGGTGGATGAATGAAAATAGCATATTATGTACAAAATGAACAGAGAATTAAAAAATATATATATTACATTGATGGAATACTCCTAAAAATAATTAAATATAAAAATATACATAGTTTTATTATTCATACTAGATTATATTGCACGGGCCAACATTTGTGTGTTATTTCATGTTTTCAAATACTTGTGTTATAGCATGTTTTCAAATGACATTTGGTGGCTATCTAAAGTTTTATTTGCATAAATTAAGTAGAGATGACATTTGGTGAATGTGTAAAGTTTTATTTGCATAAATTAAGTAGAGTATAATTTTACTTTCTAGGCGATAAGATTGATTTAAGAAGCACCAAATCAGATAAAGTGTTTCAGAAAAAATAAACACAACAAATAAGAATATTTCAAGAAGTACATACCAGCCGGCAACATCTTACAAGATTTGTAGCATAGTCTTTATACCTTGTTAGCATCACAATTACATCAGAACGAAGAAATATTTTTATTAACTAATGGAACCAATCATCAATAGAGAATCATATCTCAAACAAAATGGTCTACATATTTTCATTACTAAACATGCCAATAAGATACAATATCTTAAAAAAATGTGATAACTAAAACTCATCAGTTTTGCACATAAGTCATCTATCGCTGATCCGCTGCTAGTATAGGTCCCATACTTATTCGGTTTTTCCTGTCAAACAAAGACAGAGCGGTCGAATGTCTACAACACAACTTTGATACTATAGCCATCTCTTGCTACTTGCACGTTACAAATTATACATCTTTCAAGGAAGCAATGTCTTTAACCCGGAGAAGATTACATTCTAACAATGAATAAGAAACTTGTCATACAAAATTACTTTAGTAGCACGGATATTTTTGGCAAACATCTGCAAGTGCTATGCAACTTCAGTGTCAATATTTTACAAAAAGAAAATGTCATCACAACAAAGAGTGAAAATAAATACAAAAGATCTTAACATGTATAATTTTTTTGCTTTTAGAAAAAATAAAATTACGTAATTCTTGTGGCCCAGTCTTGTTATTTAGGTGGCATCACACGCATATACATAAACCATCAATTAAGTCACCTCGAATTTTGTAAAAGAAAAACAAACTTGGAAATTACTGAATGTCGGGGTTATTGATATAATCTAAAGTGCTAACAGAGTAATCCTCAAATACCTATTTTTCAAGTATAACAAAAATGTCTTTAAGATGCATCTGTGAACAAAAGGAATATCATCAAATTCCACTTAAATCTCCTTAACAGAAATACCTCAAACGTTTAACTTTTTGACACAATTACTTTAGAATAAATTCGAACAATGATAAAGAAATTTAATATCACAAAATGACATCTGAGTCAATCTTTCCACAGTGTAGCATGTTGTTCGCAATTATCAACTTTTACAATATGTAACTTTATTGTATCAGGAGGAGGGGAAAAATATTTTCGAGAACCATTTCTCCTTTAGATGTGAAATAGACTGTGTCGCTGGAAAAGAAAACAAAAATAGATAAATCAGATAGATTATGAAAGTGAGGAGCGACGCATAGAAAATCAGTCTGTAATCTTTCTGGTGCCAGCCTATAACGACGCATAGAAAATCAGACTATAATCACACTGAAATTTTGATTTGAAACCAATTGAACTAACTGGATATCATAGCATCAAGAAACATTGTAGCAGCATCCCAAAAATAGCAGTAGGAGTGGCTTTAAGTGTAGTAAAAATAGTAGGAAGTACGAAACAAATTTTGTCAATGCTGATCCAGATTCCCAGCTACTGTGTTAAATGAAAAATCATATGATTTTACATCAAAATTTAACTTAAATATCAGACTACGATATAAAAGACATACTCTTAATTTTATGTAAATTCATGAAATAGATTGTTATATCAAATTCAAACTAAATATGTACCTCGACATTAGGAGACGAAGTCCTGCCAATTGCCAAGGTCTTCAATATGAATCACTCTACCTTCAGTATCCTCTGTCATGTTAATTACTTATTGAACTTTCTTAAGTAACATATAAATCATGTTGGATACTTATTCAACAGCCGAATTTCTCAATTAACATATGTGATGCTACATATATGTTCCGTTATACATACTTATCCAAGTAACATTTCTTCCTTTCAAAGCCAAAACATTCACCTACTCAAACCCACAAATAACATGATCAATGACCAATATTGTTGAGTCTAAGCATACATTTATATTATCGCTGGCTCTCCATGGAAAGCTAAGAATCAAAGACTTGCTTTTCAAATGATGTTTTATTGCTGATGGGAGTTGCTCCTTTTTTCAAGTTGAGAATGAAACTGCTATTTCACAAATGCAATTTGGCAGGACTTCCTTACTTGGATTCAATGAAAATGGCTAAATCTATAGGCTAGAGGAATAAAAATTGGCTAATTGTAGTGATATACAATATATGATTGAAAAGATTCACAAGAAATGCAACGATTTTTCAGAATACCAATTGACATAAAGAGAGAAGATCCTTCACGTATGCTATGAATATTGACCTTTACATCAGACTTAGACGTATAGAATACTTAGACACAAGAATCTGATATAATAAGCAATTAATCGCCAATATCATGGGACAACCTACAACTAAGAACTGAACAATTTAGTATCACTTGAGACCTCAGAAAGCTAATAGAACAAAAGATTTAAGCAAAATAATTAGAATGTTTTAGAAGAATAAGCAATTGTCACCTTGCCCAAAATTGAAGCTTCAGTCTCTTCCCCGCAAATTTGAACTTGCTGTGAATGTCACATGCAAAGTACTTAGTTTCAGCAACTCAAAATTAAAATTTTAATTCTCATGAAATTCTACTATTCTACACACTAATGAAGATGGATACATAATTGCATAAAGAATCAGAAACAACAAAAATCATAAATAAAAGGAAGAAACAAAACTAAAACAATACATTGTAAAAATTAACACATAGACTATCCGAAGAGGAGTATATTGAAATTGGAACTTAGTCTAAGACAACTCGATCTAATGAGAGACAGAAGAGATTGAACGTTGATAAAAATAATTAGCTCAATAAAAAACCTCCATTAAAGTCTCATTACCAACCTCTTGTAAATTGAAGGAAGAAAGAACAAAGAAAACTCTTCTCTCTATCAAGAAAAATATGAATTGCAAACAAATAGAGAAAATGAATTTATCAGAATTGAAAAACAGAGAGAAATGCAACCAAATAGAGGCAGAAAAAAGACGAAGATGTGCACAACTTCTATCACCGAGAGAAGTAAGAAATTTTCAAATACTTTGTTGTGGCCTGTACGATGCTGCTCAATTTTTAGTTAAATGACACGTTGCGATGTAATATTATGTAAAGTCAAAAATATCCTTAGACAAATACAAAATGTCTTTAACCACACATGTTGATACCAAACTTAAACCCATAAATGTAATAAAAATCATTTGAAAAGTATATATATATATAAGAATACAAATATTTGTATCATCAATATTGAAAGAGTCTATGTATATTATTATTATCTAGAATTGTACTAATTTTCTGCACATTTTTACTTAGGAAATGTTTTTTAATTATTTATATATATTCATGACTGATATAGTATATGGCATTAATTGTCATGACTTTTCATATTTTAATGTATTTAAATTCAATGTATCTTATTGTTTAAATATCAGTAATTATTATTTTGTCATTTATTTTTCAATACATAATTAATATTGCATTGATCTCTCTATTTTTCTAACAAAAACGTGATACAAGAAAGCTATAGCATTAATGATAAGAGGAATTAAATGTCCTCTTAATTAAACTGTAAACATCATTCTTTCCTTTTTCTCGTTACCGTTTACTACTTCTGTCTCATTTTATATGTCATTTCTTTTTATAAATAGTTAATTTATAAAATTTGTCCTTTCATGAAATCAATGCATAAATTACTATATATTTTTTTAATAATGCTAAATGACCAGAAAAATTTGACCATAATTTAGCCAGATATGTAAAAAGACTAAAATAACCATGCTTTAAGTTTTACATTTATTTCCTAAAACTTTTCCCTCCAAACAAAATTAACTTTTTTATAATTCCGAAACTCCTTGAACTACTAAACATTAACTATTTGGCTATCAAGGAAAATGAAAAATGTTTTTTTTTTTGTGTATAATTAATCCAATTTATCTTTCAAAATAAGTATTGTTTAGTTAATAAAAAAAAGTACGCTTTAATTAAAAAAATAATTTTTAATTTTATTTTTATACATTAATATTTTTTTCATCATCTACCAAATTATGTTCTGCATATACCTTTCCCATTAACTCAATTATGATCCTAAGGTGCCAACGTATACCTTTGAAAAATTATTTTTTTGATTAAAATAAACCTCTTTAATGAAAAAGACAATTAAATTTCTCATTAATAATAACTACAAATGAGTATCTTATCTACTAAAGATTATACTTATTATTTTGTAATACAAAATTAGTAAAATCAATATATATATATATATATATATATATATATATAT